GCGGAGGATGGTGCGCGGTGCGCCGGGGGCCCCTTGCTGCCAGAGCCGCAGCGCCGCAGCAGAGCCGGCCGCGGCGGGCAGCCAAGCCGCTCATCCGGCGTGGGGCGAGGGCCGGCGGTGAAGCGGAGGGCGCCGTTGCCGCAGCGGCCATGGGGGCCCTGACCAGCCGGCAGCACGCGGGCGTGGAGGAGGTGGACATCCCTTCTAACTCTGTGTACCGCTACCCGCCCAAGTCCGGTGAGGGCCTAGGGGCGGTGGGCACAGCCTCTGCGGGCAAGGGGTGGGGGGCAGGCGGGGGCCTGGTGCTGAAGAAGAAGTGGGGATCTGGGTCGGGATGCTCCGATGTTGGGGCCCAGGGGTGGTCGGGGCCGCGGGGGCCGCAGAACCATCGAGGGCGGGAATGGAGGGGCGCCCAGTCTCCCGGGAGAATCAGAGAGGCAGCTTAGGAGCCTGGCGGGGTCACCGAGGTCACCGAATCCTCCAGGCTGAGGACGTGAGCAGCCTCCATTGTACTCTGTGCTGAGCCAGGCGTCTGCCCGGTAGCGAAGCGGCCCGGGAGAGGTGGGCGCCCGCACGGGCCGGCCCAGCCGGGGCTCGGGTCGCCTTCCTTCTCGTTTGGTCCCCTCTTTTCTCGCAGGAGCTGAGGGATGAGGTAGAGTGGGCTTGGCATCCATCTCGGGCATCTGGGCTAGCTGCTGTCCTTGGTCTGCCGCAGCCAGGCATCCCGAGAGGGGACAGCTTCGAATTCGGTTTCTCGTGGAAAAGCTTCCTTTGCCGGCTGGAAGATGGAGGCCAAAAAGGCGTTGTGTTTTTTTTTTTCCCGGTGGTGGTCCTGCAAAAGAGGCTGTGGGAAGAGGAAAAAGTGCCTAACAGATGTTTGGAGAACCAAGTGTCAGAGTCAGTCCAGTTGTCCCTTTGCCAGAGTAGCGGCTAGTCTGGTTTCGTGGAATGGGACCAGCTCTAGGACCGGGTAGTGGTATTTAAATGTGCAGAAGCATTGTGTGTGTTTTCAGAGTCATTTGTTCAGCTTAAAGAGAAATGTTTCCAGGCTGGGGGGCGGGGGGCGTGCACAGCCCTGGAGATGGAGGAAGATCACAGGAAGGTAGTGGACCCAGTGGCTCACCAGTCCATTCTAAACTGCTCACTAACTGCAGTGATTAAAGCATTGGTCTGCTAAACAAAAGGTCAGCAGTTTGAACCCACCAGCCTGTCTTCTGGAGAAAGATGAGGCTGGCTGCTTCCACAGAACCTTGTAAGGTTACAAGGAACTACATGGGGTAGTTCTACTCTGATTTGAAATAGACTCAATGACAGCGATTTTTTTTTTTCTTCTTTAAGTATATGACCTGCTCTTTGTCATCTTGAACTGCTGTTCCCACGGTTTTCCTGAGGCGATGATGGCCACCTTCTCTTTGGCGTCGGACCGCTCGGGATCTGGGAGATCTCGCAGCACTGTGTCAGAATTGCAGCAAGGTGGTTCTCCTGTGGTTGAATGAACACATAGTAATGAGATGAGTTGTTCCCAGCAGTGTGTCCAGGCTCTGCCAGGTGAAGGCAGGGACCAGACAATGAACCTGCATCCCTGCAGAGCGTCTGGCAGAGCCATGCTGTTCACTGCTTTTGTGCCAGAGAATGAATCCTTGCCGAGAGGAATAGGATTAAGAGCTGTTTTAGAAGAATGGCCTAAGATCGCTGTGGATCGCTCACGTTTTAATAAACCTCAAGCTAATTAGGACTCTGGAACCAGTGCGAAGAAGGCATGTGTTTTGCAGGGATGTTTGTGGATTTTTTTTCTCTTCCCCTCCTCAACTCTCTTAGCTTTTATTGATCAGAAGATGGAACAGGTTTTGCTGTGGTCAGGGTTTTCAGTAGCGTTTGCTGCCTCAGGAGAGGATTCACCCCTCCTTCCTGTTTGGGAATTAACATAGATAAATCTCTGGAAGGTTATTCCCCCAAGGATATTAATAGAAGTATAAATCTTGGATGATGAGAATGAAAGGATAGTTTTATTTTAACTGAAACTTTTCCTAATCAGCACATTTAATACTAATAGTCTTAAATAATGGTCTCCACTCTACTAATCTTTTAAAATGTTTTCCTAATTGTAACTCAGTGTTAATCAGAAATTATGTTTGAGGGAAAGCTATACAGCATATGGATCGAATTCAGTATGTTGAAGGTAAACACAGAAAATAAGTGAGAACATTCATGTCCTAGTCAGCAAGGCCTTGTGTACTCTGTGAGGAGATGTATGAACTTGCAAAAATGCTCTAGTCTAGAGGCGTCTGCTGCCCTTCAGCTGCCCTTTAAGTTGACCTGGCTCTTTGTGTGATTATGGCATTTTAGACCTGAAAGGGATCTTAGAGTGAATTTGGCCTGACCTACTCCTTTCACAGGTAAGAACATGAATTGGTATGGACAGGGTCACACCACAGGCCAGTGTGCTTTTCACAAAGCCATCAGCTTCTGCCTTTTGCGTGGGATTTAATTTTGAACTTGTCCTTGATGATTTGGGGAATGGAGGCTGATCTGTATCAGAACTGAACCCATCGTCTGAGGCCTTGTCCCTGTTGAGGACTCAGACGGGGTTCATTTCAGGAGTCCCTTTTCCCTGGGTTCTGGCAGTGGAATGAAGCCAGGAGCAGAGGGCATTTTCTCCAGGTGACTGCCCCCTGTCGGCTAGGTTCTAAACTGAGGTGGCCCTCTGGCCTACTACCTGTGGGGCAGTTGTTTAGAAAGAAACACTGTCCCTGTAAAGATGGTCACAGCAGCACCAAGTCAAAATCTCTTTCTTTTTTGTTTTGTATTTTTAAAGAAATCTCTTAACTTTTATATGCACATTAAGCTGATACATTAAAGTTGCCAAGAGCAGCTGATTTCATGCTAGAGCTTGGGTTTGCTAGCTCATGCAATGGAAAAGCGGCCTTTCCTTTTGTAGAATAGTTGGAAATAAGATAGATTATTTAGATGAGTTATCTTTTGAGTAGGTGATGTTGGCACAAGTTTCAAGCTGTAAAAGAATGGATGAGCGAGCATACAGTGGACGTCTGTTGTCCATCCACCCATTCCCCAGCCTCCTCAGATGCTTCCCGTCCCCGGGTAACCACTGTACTGGTTCCTTTCCCATTACTCCAGACTTTCTTCTGTAAGATGCCGGCGTGGCGTGCTGTTCTGACTGTTCTTACCTTGTTTTCTTGCTCTCAGAGATCCTGGAGGCCTTTGTATGCCATCTTCATGGCAGAGCACCTCCTTAAGTCTTTTTTAACTGGACTCCTCATATGCATGTGCCATCAGTTTTTAGTATCGTCTTCCACTGACAGACGTTTGTTTTGTTCCCAGACCTTTACTATTGCTTATAACCAGCAGTGAGTACTCTTGTACAGACGCTCTTGGATGATTTTTAGATGTTAATGGTGCATTGGTATTCATCATTTAAGTAGCCAGAAGGATGGTGGGAGTTATGTCTGTATAATTTTTCTGCACTGGGACAGCAGGCAGCTGTACTGCTGCCGCATCGTTCTGCATTTCGTTGTGCCTTTACGATTTTTGAGTTAGAGCCCAACCATGCTTTTAAAGTCTTCTCGTAAGACCTTTACTTCTTTGAAGCCCATGATTGTTTAGCCAGAGGTATGTATGGCTTTGCTGAGCTGCGGGTTTTTACACATGCACACCCATCTTTTGACAGGAGTAGCCAGGTTGATAAAAATCGTTAGATCTGTTTCCTGTGTCCTGGAAGAAACAGGCATACTGTGAAGATGATTTAATTCGGTGCCTGATAAATGGGGCTCATTGCCTTCTCCGTACTGGAGCACAGTTGAAGATAGGGGTAATTCATTTTGCTCAGATCTTGAGAGGTAAACCTGCCACCTTTAAAAGCATTGTGAACGTGCAGGATGGGACTCAGCATCCTGAGCAGCTAATGACATCATCATTCTCTAAATGTTTGTCACATTGGAGACACGTATGCTTGTCCGGTAGGTCTCTCCTGTGGCAAGAACAGTCATTAGAAGCATGGGTAATAAGTCTTATGATGATAAAAATTTCTCTTCATTTTTAGGGACATCAATTTAATACCAGTTTTGAAACTTGGGATTAAAAGTGTGGAGCTTTCTAGAGAATAAAGATTATGTGGTGCTGACATAGATTGACTGATGCTTTAAAATCAAACAGGTCCCTCAGATTTATAATAAATACATTCCATACCACAGAAACCTAAATATTGTTTCATTTAATGATGGCGAGATCATGATCAAATGCTAGTCTTTTTTGACATTTAAAATGTCGCAATTTTCTCACTTTGCAACTCCCAGTGTTTTTGCTTTATTTGTACCCTACTTCACTGACTGATCAGTCATTTCTTGATTTTTGTCTTCAGACTTAAGGGCTTTGATTTCATTAGGATGGTGGTTTATGTTGTTCTTTGGCCTCTTCTCCTCTTTCTGTTTGTTATCATTAATGTGCATTATTGAGCGCCTGCTATGTATTATGCATTATGTTAAAAAAAAAAAAAAAGCAAACCAAACTTACTTCCATCAAGTGGATTCTGACTCATAGCAACCCCTATTGGGTTTCCAAGGCTGTAAATCTTTATGTAAGCAGACTGCTTCCATGGAGCAGCTGGTGGGTTTGAACTGCCAACCTTTTTATAAGCAGCCAAATGCACCACCAGAGCTCCTTATATGTTATGCTAGGTACCAGTATATAGAATCAGATTCCTTTACTCAGTTATTTTGATGCTTATGGCAAACAGCAGGATAGAAACCTTCATATCAACTTCATGATGTGCGTCACAGATGGGAGCATTAACAGCACAAGCTATTTGGTGGCTTCCTATTTTAACTAATTATTCTTACTATGTGGATGATAACCTCAAGGTCTTAGTTGCTGTAAGAGTGTTTGTGCTGTGAACATGTGAAACAAATACAAAAATTACATGATCTTTAAAAATTATTACTTAAAAATGATGTTCCTTCCAAAATTCCATGCTTATTCCCTAGTGTCAGAGGTAGAATATGTGCATACATATAAACCCCAATACAGAATATGACATGAGTAAGCCAGCATCTGTCCCAGGAACGCAAGGTTGGTTTAATATCTGAAAATCAATTTCCATAATATAGCATATTACTGGAATAGAGGACAAAAATTACGTGGTCATCTTAAAAAGCATTTGATGAAATCCAGCCCTCATCCATGATACACATTTTCAACAAACTAGGGATAGAAAGTATAGTACT